TCCCATCACACTAGAGTGGGGGATTGGTCCTGAGCCTTTTACTTCATCTCTTCAATTGTAAAATCTCTTTCCATTTCCAAAATTGTCTTTTCAGATACTTTGCATTCCCTGCTCAGGTGCTGTTCCCAAGTGCTCTGCACACAGGAACACAGATCCAAGTAGAGGACTCTCATTCACAACCAAAAGCTGGATTTTCCATAGCTATGCTACCAGAATAACAGTATGCACAGCTGAAGGGTCAGGGCAAGAAAGTAAAAGTAATCAGTGTTTTCTGATCCTCTCTAGATACTTCTCCAAAACACAACTACTTCTTGTTGAGTACCAGTCACATAAAATACTGAGAAAGACAACACAATGTAACTGGAGACATGACAGTAATCCATATGAACCAGTCACTGGAAATAAACTGGACAAGTTCAGCAAAACTTCATCCATAAATATCTCAGTGAGCCCTCAACAATTAGTCTTTCATACATTTTACCTTGGGGTTTTTTTTCAAATTTCTATATAAACTGAGATATAAATTTGGTCAAAAACATACCTCAAAGACAACTGAGATCCTTTTTGCATGCTGAAACTCATATATGAATTTCCCTGCCTGGTTTTCATACTTCTTGTTGTGCTGTAAGTGAATCACTAAAAGAGACACTATTTTATTTTATGGGTTTTCTGACCAGAGCACTGAAGTGGTCATGATTACTATGGGACCTCATCGGCTGTTTTGGTGCAATTTGGAAAGTGGGAACTGCAGAAGAGGAGAGGTAACAAGCTGCCAGTGTAAAGAGGGCCTTCAGGCCTGAGCTCTCCACCAAGGACAATGTAGAAACCTGGAATGGTTTGTCTTGGAAGGGACCTTTAAAGATCACCTGATGTCAACCCCCCTGCCATGGGCAGGGACACCTTCCACTAGAGCAGGCTGACCAAAGCCCATCCAGCCTGGCTTGAGTATTTCCAGGGATTGGGCATCCAGAGCTTATTTGGTCAGTCTGTGCCAGGGCCTCACCACCTTCATCATGGAAAGATTTCTTCCTTATGTCCACTCTAAACTCACCCTCCCTTAATTTAAAAGGGTTGCCTCTTGTCCTGACACTACAGGCCTTGGTAAAAAGTCCTGCCATCTTATAAGCCCTCTTTAAGTACTGAAAGGCTGCAATAAGATCTCTACATAGTAAGGATAGAGACATACTAAGAATTATTGTATTTACCAATAAGCCACAACTCACTGCATGCCTTAAAAAAAAATAAAATAAATCAGGTAAAATTGACTTGTAAAAGAGGCACTCTGTATCACCACATATACACTGCAAAACAAACAGTCTTGAATATCCAGACTGCCCAAGTGACCTGCAGCCTGGAGTTAATTTACAAATATATTCTCACACATTCAGGCACTCACGGAGAGCTGGTGACTTGGCAGCACTCGAGACAATTAATTACAGAAAGTGCTCAGTAAATAAATGTTCCATTTGAGTTGCTTCCTTTGTTCTGGCAACAAACCACACAAAGAAGGTCGCATTCAAATTCTACTTCAACCACACATCCATATAATTCTCCTTCCTTTTTAATGCAGGGGGGAGTAAGGAAGATTTACTCATCAGCTCCCTATTTTGGAGGAATGCAGAGTGCACTGGAAGAATCTCATTGTATTGCAGGTACCTTATGGTTTCAGTTAGACCTGTCAGTGCTGTCTGTGTGTAGAGGAGGGATGTTTCCTGCCCCAGGAGGTGACAGGCAGCTGTGTGTTCTGAGGGGAGGATGTAGGCAAGGTGCTGAAGAGGGGAAGCCACTTGTGTAACGAGAAAATAGGTTTAAGGACCTGCAGGAACACTTGAACAAATACAAGCACTTCCGAGGGTCTCCCCGACCAAACCCCACAAGTTTCACTTTTATGAATCAAGCTGTCAGTCATGTAGAATGAGTTTGGCTATTAATGAAAAAACAATAAATGTACAATAATGAGGAAATGACCTAATGGACCGAGGCAGATGGACTTAATTTGTTATTAATTAACTGCCCTTAGGAGAAACTGTAGAGGGAGTGGCCAAACACCACGATAATGGTTAACAGAATACCTTGAATAAATGAGATTTTCATTTTTGGCGTGCTCCAGGAAGAACTGAAGAAAAAAAAATTAAAAGATGCTGTTCTCTGCTTGCTGGCAAGACTATTGGTACAAGTCACTGCTGATAAATTAAATTAAAGCCCGCGTGCAGAAGCATTTAATCAGAAAGAACAAGTGAACAGAGTGAAACACTATCAGCCTTGTTTTGCTCTCGTCCTGGCCTTTCTACTCAAACTGTTCTTAGCTACTTCTTTTCTATAATTACATTAATTACCACATTCTAGGGAGAAAAATAACCCTGAACAGCAATTACAGCTTCAACAAGGGTAACAGAAATGTTACTAAATAAAGAATATCACTATGGAGAGTTCCACGCTTAGGAGAAGCTGCATCATCTACAATTTCCCTTGGCTATTAAAAGTCTCCTGTAATATAACCAGAGATTTCTTTATAACTGCATCTATGCCCTCAACAACAGCAAAGATGCAGAAACAGTATGCTCACCTATGTTTTCTCTTCATCTGTTGAATTCTACTGTTTAAACAACAGATTCTAAAACTGACATGAAAATATTTTCATTCCTGTTCCCCTTCTACCAAAAGAAATTTGCCCAAGGCCAAACCCCTCATCACACCAACCTGTCTATCTTGCCAATGTCCAATTCACAAGCTCACTGCCCTCTCCTCTCCAGCCTCCCTGTCACTCTCAACAAATGTCCTCTACAAGCCTTCCTTTGCCATACCTTGTCTGGGATTGCTTCTTTCTTCCACCTCATTTCTACTTTCCTCACCTCTCACCCCTTGCTCTCTGAAAAGACCTCTTTCCTGGAAGCGATTTTCTTACATGAAGTCAGGCAGAACACTGTCCAACTTTGTGCCCTGATGAGTGAGGGGTGAAATAAAGACTGGGGCATTTGTGTATTGCTTGGACACCACTGAGAAAATTCGGCACAGAAAACTTTCCAAATTAATGCCCATGCACTAAGGTCATTTCCCATTTCCTTCAAAAAACAGAAAGTGTTTTTCAAAAGAGCAATTTGTACCAGAGACTATTCTCAGAGGCTCAAATTAGCTCTTTCATGTTTTCCATTCCAGACAAATACACTAAAGCTTTCTTGACATTAGGTCTCTTCAATCAACTGCTCTAGTCTCTATCAATGGATTTTATTTATAAATAAAGCAGATGTAATAACTGCTACCCTAAGAGGCAAAAAGGCACTCATCTGATTTGTGTAGTCATGTTTTTGTTATCCTGTGTTCTGTTGCTCCATCTCCACTATGCAGGCTTCCACTGAACAAAACAGGATTTTTAAGAGGCAGAAGAATCAGATGTGCACCCATCCAGAAAAATATGGCCTGACCTGTCAACATACTGAGACCTCTCCTGAACATCCTGCTTCCAATATCCAAATACAGGCTTCTTCATGTTTGCAACATTAGGCTAGATTAGGAGCCCAAATAAGATAAAATATTAGGAGGAATTACTTTGGGAAATACTAAAATGGCACAGGCAGAAAGTGGAAATTTTAGCAGGGTGAAAACTGCTAATGGGGACAAAGAACAAAACCTCACTCGCCTCCCACATACAATGGGAGACTGCCCTGGAGCATGGAGCTACACTCAGCCAAATATTTTTGAATCAAGCAGTGAGAGAGTAAGTTTTATTTAAAAATTAACACAGAACAGATTTTCATTCCGATGAATTAGGAAGCCAAAATCAAAGCATGTGGAGCTCAAATGCTGGGAAAAGTAGCATCTATCAGAGAACATACACAGCACCATGGAAAGATCCTGGAGTGATCTGGGCTACTGGGTGCTGGCTCTAAATGCCAGTTAGAACATGAGGAGCACTCACAAAAGGATAACCTTTTCTTATGGGATTGGGAAGTAGGCAGCCTTCATAAAGTGGTCCACCCCAACTCCATTTTTCCATTTCTTTCATGAAAAAAAACATTAAACCTGTCTATGACTGTGGTGGTTTGACCTTGGCTGGATGACAGGTAAGGCTGCTCTGTCACTACCCTTCCCAACCGGCAGGGGAGAGAAAACGTAAGGAGAGGCTCATGAGTTGAGATAAGGACAGGGAGAAGTCACTCACCCACTACCAATCATGGGCAAACCAGACTGGACATGGGGAATTTCACTGAATTTATTACCAGTCAAAATCAGAACAGGACAACAACAAGTAAAACAAATCTTAAAACCACCTTCTCCCCACCCCTCTCTCTTTCCTGGACTCTACTTCCTCTTCCTTAGCAGTGCAGGGAGGCAGCAATGGGGGTGATGGTCAGTTCAGCACAGGTTACCAAAACCTGGCCATGCAAACCCAATACACTCCACACTACCCTCCCTCTATGAATCATATATTTAAGAATTATCATTAAAATCCACATTCATCACACAACCTTCAACATCAACAAAACAAACCAACCAACCCAAAAAAATTCCCCCAACAAAAAGATCAAAGTAACATTATCACAGCACCAAACAGAAGTGGATAATTTACACAAAAACCGTCCCTTGTCCCTTCACCATAATTACAACAAAAATTCTCCACAATCATTCCACTCTCTAACATTGTTCAGTCCACATTTTGCTCCCTACCTCCCTCCATTACTATTCTTATCTCAAATTCCTCATAGTCCCAGCTTTTGGCACCAAAAAGACCAGTTTCTCCTTCTATCCAATTAGAATTGTACATGTTGGTAGGTTAAGCGACCTCTTAAAATCCTTGAAGGTTTGGTTTTAAGTAACTGTAGTATTACGGATCTACTTTCAGTACTCCCTAAGACACTTTAAAATCAGTTCACAAAAATTTTCATTAAATTAATAAAAAACAAGCTTAACTTGACAATCACGTGAACATTTCACACACTGGAGGAAAGCCGTAGCTGTCCAGCACATTAAATACAGGAAACTCCTTTGAAAAACAGACTTACAATGGTGTTGCAGAGTTTGTACTGCTTGTAGGTGCCGACACACACGATGGCCGCGGCCCTTTGGGGCTGGGGCTGCCCCTGCAGGGCCTGGGCTGACACAGGGTTGGGATCACTGCTCTGGAACAGACTTTGAGACGCAGGAAACGATGGTGACTGATAAACTGAGGGTCCCAGGACCTGATGTCCTGCCTGAGGCCCACTTGCCTCTTGATAAAGGTTCCCATGTTGGACTGGAGGCCCAGCTGCTTGGCTGTAGGTGCTCAGGAGACTCGGGCTTGGATGGAACATGTGGCTCCTCGAGGACTGCCGCTGCCTCCGGAGCTTCTGAGGCTGCTGACCAGTGTCAGTTTGTAAAGGTAAAATGTACGGCACTTTTCCATACCCGTACTTTCCTGGACCAATAGGATTTCTGTTTCTGCTCCTGAAAACAGAGAGAGAGAAAACAGTTACTGAATCCATACGCGAGGGAGCAGTTAGATATTTATACGTGACCTGTTTATTTGTCAGAGTTATTCACTGCAAAGCAACAGGTAACCAAGTTTTCTGGAAAATATGTTCAAGATGTAGTCCTGCTTAAAATATTCAGAACCTCTGAAAAAGTCTACTGGTTCAACTAAATTCTGGGCCCTCTTTGGCCAAGAGTCACATGGAAGTCACTTAGTGTCAGCTCCCAAAGGATAAGGTGTGGTATAAAACAGCAGTTTGGAGTGAGGTGGTGGTTGTCTTTTTGATCCCCAGGACTCTCCTCTAAAATGGAAATTCAGAGAATCCAAGCTGTATACTGCTAAAATTCATAACCATGTTCCAGAAGGCCTTGAGATAGATAACAGCAGAAAATCCCTACTGAGGATTTGAGTAATGACAGAAGGAAATCTACATTCAGTATTGTAAAGATCATTAAACATTTTGTATCCATTCTAAAGGTCTCCTGTGGTTCTGCTTCATTTGCTACTTAAGAAATAAAAATGGAAACAGAAAAAGAATAAGGAACATAAAAATATTACTGAAAGACCCCTGGAAAAGATGACAAATGTAGGTAAATATTCTTATTATGTTACATAGATGATTTTCTCTTCTCTGGCCAGCAGATTTACCCTTTTTTTTAAATATGCAAAGTGTGGATTTCCAATACATTGAATTACTAAGTCGTGACCCCCCAGTTTGTTGTCAGGATAAAAGCCCACCTTTCACTGTCCATTACCAAAACATTCCCGAGACCTGACAGCCCTGAGCACTGACCATCACGTTGCAGGTCTGCTCTCCTGCTCACAGATCTCTTCTCACTTACTGAAAACCCTGTATTTTGGGCCATGTTACACCCATACCAGCAGCCTCAGACAGCTGGGATGCCGTCTGAGATATAAGAGATATAATAAATAACAAATTAAGGCAATTTGCCTTGGTCCATTAGGTCATTTCCTCATAGCAACATAGTGGACTCAGCCTGCAGTCTCAGCTCCAAATTAAAAGTGAAGAGTCAAAAAATTAATAATATCACATTTGGGTCTCACCATTTAAGAGAGATAACTCTGGAATTTTATCTGCCAGCAATAGGCTTGTTTGCATTTGCTTTTCTTCTCAACCTGTGCAGCTCAATATCACACCAGGCCCTGATTTCTAATGCCACAGTCTGAAGAATAAGCTGGCAAAAAATAATTTCTTCCAGTTCAGAGCAACGTGTGAATACAGTTATTTTGGGTAACCTTTGCAGCTCAGGAAGGGAGACACCAATAAAGGAAAGTAATTTTCTTTCTGTCCATAAAATATATCTATATTTTTAATATATATACAAAATAGACTTGAACTGCAGTGAAAACCAGAAGTTATAAAGTGACATACTTATTTTCTAGAAACTGAAGTGTTACAGATGTCAGACAGACACCAGATCAAAGGGACCTTTCTTTGGGTTTGTTTTTTCTAGGGTTTGCTTTCTTCCCAAGTTTTCTATTCTCCTAAGATTCTTGTTACATGGGAACCCTGGAAGTCATTTACTTCACACTCTGGCCTTATGGCCACGTGGGGCTTTTAATCAATCTTCCTGGCTCAAGATGTGTGAACAAGAGTGCTGACTTGCCCTGGCAGATAAGAGACCAGCACTCTTGAAGTGTTTATCCCCCTTAATCTGCTCTGACCATGACAGTCATTGTTGAGGCAGGGCTTTGGGAGTTCCAGTGGAGAGAAGTACTATAATGGCTTTTGGCATTAAGGTGGGGAAAGGAAGGCTTCCTGTAAGTAAACAGGGGAGGAAAGAAAGAGAAATTATGAATGAGAATTATTTCAGAAGTTTAGACTAAACCCATTTTGATTTAAATGAACAGTTTTATTGTTGTGTAAAAATTGGAAAATCTTGATTTTGAAGGTATTAAGTCTTTTTTCTTGTAAAATGGTTTGTCACTGCAACAAACATAGAGCAACAGCACAAAGAAGTGAAAGCAGTAACAATATTCTTGCTGTTAGTTCCTGCCTCATCTTGGCTTCTTTTCCTAAACTCTAACCTGGAAATGTTTCTGAAGTCCCCACGGATGAGGAACTGAAGCACCATTTCTGGAGAGTCGGGAACATCACATTGCTTTCAACATGCTAATTTTGAAAACAAAGTGCAACAGACAACCTCGAATTATTAACACCTTTATTGGTGTTCATGCATTCATTTAAACCAGTATTGACCAGATTGAAACTATTCTCAACACTGTTTTGCCTTAAAGCATCTTTCATTCACACTTGGCAATATCCTGATAAATTAGGAATGCAGTCTGTTGCACTGTAATAAAGAGGCTTGTAAAAATAGCTTAGTGTTAATTAACTTTTATAATTCTTGGGGATTATCAGGCAGAATTTATAATGTCATGCAGCAACGAGGGAGAAAGTGAGATATGTTATGTTGGTCTATACACAATGAGAAAACAGTAGGGAAAGGAGAACCATGGAGGGGAAAGGAGAAGGAAAATTAGACAAAATCTACATTAGCTTACTAATCAAAATTAAACTAAGCTTGCTGACACTGTTTGCTTTATGCTAAATCCACTCAGCATTGATCTGCTGGTAGAAGACAGAAATAGGCCAAGCACTTCTGGCTTGTTGGGAATTTTCAGTTGCCAGCAGGGCTTATTCTTACCTGTCATTCATTATGATTACCTACATTCATTCTAAGCCACATAACTCCCTCCTCCCCACAGCATGGCTTGGAAGCTCCTCCTTTTTTTTTTAGTTTTTAAAATGCACACTATCATAAGCCAGGTCAGAGTTGGGATGCACTTTCATTTAGTGCAACAGGTAAAGGAGGATAAAAGCATTAGCAAGTAAAACCTCTGGCCTTGTGCCTACTTAGCCAGTCCTAAATTAGAGTGAGGTTACACTGCATTAGTCTTTGCATACCCAGCTATGCTAAAAACCAAGTTATCCTTCTTAAAGTAGAAATGGTTAAGAAGAGCATTTGAGTAAGATGTTGAGTATGTGTTGCTGCAGAGTGAAGCTGACTGTTTGAATCACAGTCAACAACTCTCAGACAAACTCTGAAAATTCAACTTGAGCAAGATCTGAGTTTTAGCCTCCAAATTTTACACAACTTTGACAAAGCTTTTCCAGCGTGGTGTTAGATTCTGTCTTCACAAGTCCATGTTTCCCCAGCACCAACAGAAATAATTACAAGAGTTTGGTACCAAAATTGAGCCCCATATTCCTCCCACAGCACAATTCCTAAAACATCTGCATTTAGAAAGGATTCTAATACATTTCCAAAACCTGCAACATGCTGCACCACGTGATCAAGGACATGACTGTGTCAATGCAAACTCTTTACACAGCCTGTAAGAAAACAGTAATAATAAATAATTCCTAGGTTCTTTCTGATAAACACAGTCCCTGCAGAGCTGATATTATTTAGAGATGGATTTACTTAGGTATTGAGCACCAAAAATTGGAGCACCTATCATGAGAATGATTGGAGGGTTGAATTCCAACGAGAAGTCAACCACTGGCACTAAGGTACAAGCACTGTCACACTCAGAACTGAAGCAATTAAAGTAACACTTCACTTCTCATTTAACTAGACAATAAACAGTTAAAAATCACAAGAAACAACTCCCAGAGAGGAGAAAACACCAACTGTTTGAAACACAGGTGAAAGAAAAAAGAAGCCTGGGACTTTACTCTGCAGGACTACCCCGTGTTCCTCCCTTGCGTAAATCCAGCGCGTTCTGCACATGCTGGAGCCCTTCAGGAAGTTACCAATTACCTTCCACATTAATCTTTCCAAAAGCACTCCCCTTTCCAGCTGAACTAAACATGACTGCATTAGCAAAACAGCCATGCTAATTTTCCATTGCCTGTAAATTCATGTTGATAGTCAGAGATTTAATAGGTTTGTCAGGTGTGCTGCCTTCTCAGAGCCCCCACGGTCCTTAGATGTGCGGAGACAATCTAGGACTGGGGACAGTTATGTTCATATCCTGCATCTGTTTCACTTAAACAGAAGTTCCTCCTCCTAGTTCAGCCAAATCAGCTCAGGAAAAGAAACAACATGCTCCCAGGTTTCACTTATGCCAGGCCAGTTAATTTTACATGAGGGCTTTTGGCTGCAAATCTTTATGTCAGTCAGATTTTCACTACTGCTGATCCATTCATGTAAATAAAACTATTTAAGGTAGAAAAAGCCTTTTATTTCATTGCTTCTGATAAAAAGATATCAAACAATGATTGTCTACAATACTTTGCATGGGGGAAGGTCCTAAATATCCCTTCAAGAATTAGAAACAACAGAAAGGAAGAAGTATCAGAAAGCAAAGATAACTAAGTCTCACCAGCTCCATCAGCTGTTAGTCTCTCTGGCTAAACTGTGCAGTATATCAAATAAACACAATAATAAAAAGTTTTTCAGTTTTTCACTGGACTGAAGAAGAACAAGAGAGAATAAGAAAAGAACTATTCAATAATATTTGCAGTCAGTTAGGATGAAAAGGGGGAAAAAAATGTCACGAAGAATAGAATTACCATCTAAAGGCAAATTACTGCCTAACAGAAAAATATATGTAGAAAAGCATTCAGTGTTTCATGTCAGACCACAGCCAGCAGACACCTCTGATCTCTTGTGTTCATCTCAAGCAGAGGCATAACAGCTGTTTAACACAGACCTGGCAATGTCCTTTCTTTGGGTATAATTCTCACAAACACCTGCACCTCCCTGACTGCTCAGACAAATCTGTTTAGCACTTTGATAACAAAAATGATGGGCCCCTTTCAACTTAAGCCAACCTAAATATATTCTTTAATTCAAAAATACATTTGCCCAGACAGGTATGAAAATGAGGTTTTGTGCTATTAATGTAAGGGTTATAGCAAGCATTTCAAAATTATTATCGTTATTATTATTATTAGCTAGTATTCTTGGTGTTCTAATTTTTAACTTCTCTCATGCTGAGAGTA